TTCAGGACGAATGGACTAAACAAAACGACCCAAAATGACCTGGAAAAAAGTCTGGTTCCATTGACTTACATTAAAAATAAAGTAGGTTTTTTCCTTCTCCTGTAAAGTTACCATTTTGGAGACAACAGCGATATATGTGTAACACATATATTGAACAATATATGATTGAAAACATTCATATATGGATTCCATATATTACTCATATATACTAGCTACATGTTATATAATATGAAGTTTTTGTGCATCTTTTTGTTTCTTCCACATGCTTCATAATGATATGCAAATCAGTATAATAAGCTACATAACATAACCCATACCCATTGTAACCTATGCAATAAATCATTAAACATTAAATAAATGAAAATATATTGTTCCCTGACACATTTGAGTATGAAAAACTAAACAGATAACATAGTAACAGTTATAATGGTACAGAGATGTATGTATCAGACAGATATATGTGTAATCTGTATATTATGCATCTATGTGCAATATTTGATACTTACACATATGTACGCACAACATATTTGTACATAAATTTTAAATACCAGCCTGACCTGCTTTGATATATGTGCATATATGGCCATATATCAGATTTCCGTATGAGAGTTGTCTTAACTAAACTGACAGTTTAGCCATTATTAACATTCAAATTAACAACAGATTAATGGTGATCAGTCCGTCTTCACAAGCTCTAGCTAATTTATAGAGTCTCTTTTAGAACTGAGAAAAAAAAAAGTATTGTAATCAGCTGTTGGAATCGACTCTATCTATTCCATTCAGTTGGAATCGGAGTCAACTTCAAAATTTCTGGAATTACTGTTATTTCTAAAATGGACAAAAAACACAGAGCTAAAACAGTAGTAGCAGCCATGCTGAAGCCTCGTTTTTGTCTGTTCCTCTTCACATTTTAAAACTAAAGAGGTAAGCTTTGAAAACCGAGCATACACTGACTGATCTCCTACACCTGAAGTAAAGGGAAACTTGTAAAGTTGATTCTTCATCAAACTATTTAATCAGGAATGAGGCCAGGTTTCTTAAACTGCAATAGAATAGCTTAAAAGCAGCATTAAAACCATGGTGTCCAAAGTCTACACACTTAAATGTAGATTGTACATAACTGTTGACTGTCCGCAGTCAAGTCTCCAGAGAGGGGACTGATGTGGTCAGCTAATTCTTGATTAGAAATTCACTGCAGAAAAAAAGGCACAAGCTTCATGTTCATAAAATCTACATAACCTAATTCAGAACAAAACTGTCTCTCCTAACCCTCATGTGGTGTTGATGTGTTTGTTACTCAATGGTCTGGTGGACCCACTGCATTATTGTTTATTTAAATCAATACAGCCATAACAATTTATGTAAAAGTACCAGATGTTTAAAATATCACAAGTGGCCAGCGTAGGGTTCTCCTTTAGCAGCTGTAGCCAGTCAGCAGCCTGTCCATGTTGTCCACACTCACACACATGCACACATACACAGACACTAACAGCAGGCCATGTAGGAGGAGAACAGAGTGAAGGACACAGCACCTCCACAAATGTGTGGGGGGTGAACAGAGTGAAGGCACTGAAAATGTGTTATTTTATATGTTCTTCACAGAAAATGAGCAAAGGCCAAGAACCTGAGGTTGAAATAATAATAAATCACATAATTTTTTCTTTTGGTAAACATTGAAAATGGGTCCCCCAGACCTGAACACCACACAAGAGTTAATCAGTTGAAATGTGACACACAAGTCTGCCTGTGTTAAACCTTACAAGCATCTAATTCAAGTGACCATCCATGCTTTGTCACAGTCTGCTGAATTTTTTCCAAAAAACTGACCAAACCTGACCTGTGTGACCTTGGAGAAGAATTCTAATGACTAGGCCACGTCACCCATTAACATCGACTCCAGCTAAAAACTGAACTTATGCGTGTAAAACAGGATAAAATCAGGAGATAAGCAACTAATGCTACCCACACTGCTATTATGTCCCATTAGGGAAATGTAATCTGTCCACACTTTGTGGCTGGCTACCTTGTTTGGCTTAGAAGCAAGCAACACAAATAACTACTCGCTTAAATTACGAGTACAGACACATAAAGAAATCAAAAGGAGAACATTCCTTCATTTTTTCCCAAAATGAGGCCGTTCCATTGTGGCAACTAGACAAAACCAACAGAGAAATAGGACGTTTGAAAAGGTTGCGGTGGAAATTATGCAAACGATGAATTAAACTCAACCTCTTTGGCTTGACAGAAACATTCACTGTTCGGAGACGTTAGCAGGTGTTCCTATAAGCTACGACACCACAGAGTAAAAGAACTTTCCGCGGTTCAAATAACTGCCTTAAATACGTTCAGAATAAACACATCATCCAAAAAGTATTACTCGCATGATGTCAGCTAATAATATTCCTCAATTTTAAAACATGTGAGCAATTAACTGGAGCTGTAACTGCGCTTTTGAAGTTTAAGATATTCCAGTTATGACTGAGAACCGAAGCAGCTATAAATAACTTTACAAACTACTTCCAAAAACACTACAAAGTAGTTCTGTTCTCTTAAAAAAACAACTACTTCATGGTTTTAGTCCTTTAGTGATCCATATGTGGGCACATGGTTCAATTTCTCACTCTGTCTATGAAAATTACATTATAATTTAATAGTAAGTTCTGATTAATTTATTGTACACTGCAAAAAATCTTGCCCTCATATCAAGTGAAATGATCTTAAATCTAGTCGATATATCTAATATTTCCCATTTTGGGATGGTTGTGCACTTATAATAAGACGATTTAGCTTATTTCTAGACACTTTTCACTTGTTTTAAGTAATTTTAATAGGTAAAATGATCTCACTGTACTGGCAGATAATTTTGCTGGTTTCATTTCTTAAAACGAGCACAATGATCTGCTGAATAAAATGACTTAAAACAAGTAAAAATGTCTAGTAATAAGGTAAAATAATCTTAATTTAAGCTTACAACAATCTCAACAAGAGAAATATTAGATTTATTGACTATATTTAAGATCATTTTACTTGACAAGACACCATTTTTTGCAGTGCAGTTCTCAAATAACATATTTTAATAATAATAATAACTTAATAATAAACTGGCAATTTTTAGGACTAAGGAAAGTTTCATAGGGTTTTATTACGTAATGACTCAGGGCTTTGGGAAGTGGGGGTGCTGAGGGTGCCGCAGCACTCCCAGATTTCAGGACTGCAGCCACTAAAAATAATAAAAATAATATTTTTAATAAAAACGCAAAATAGTAGAGATCTGACCGAGATAGCAGAGAGACTGTGTGCATCAGCGGTCTGATGTGTCATCTGTATGTATCTATGGTCATCAAATTCAAATAGAAAAAAGGCAAATCATTTTGCCTGACATCATCGTTAACGTCACATACATGGTGCTTAAAATTTCAGCACCCTCAGCTCAAAACACGTCCCTGTTATAACTTGTCTGCTTCAGTGCTTTGACTATGCTGTGAAAATCTGTTTTGAACTTATCAAATCGGCAGAACAACTAAGACAAAACAGCTTTGCGATCTGTGAAAAGAGGCCTGTAGGTACTACAAAGCTGACCTGCTTCTTCATTTGGGGCACCATTAATGTTGGCACTAGTTGTGTAGGTACTGAGCCTTGAGTCAATCTATGCTTATCCTTCAAATCTGTTCTTATGCATAGCTACTGTTGCAATGACAGTCTTTTCAGAATGTCAGTGAAAATCCCATTTAACCTAATGAGAAATTGTAGCGTGAAGTCAGATAGTTGGTGTTGTCAGGTGGTGTTTGTCAGTCATGAAATTGAGCGAATGTTAGCATGGTGGCAAATTGAGTGCCATTTGCACTCCGTGTCACCTTCCACTCATTGTTGTTTTGATCTGCTACAACAAAACAGTCCAGCTCAGTAGTAGGGGTGGGCAATATGGCAGAATTGAGTGCATTTACATAATAATTAATAATTAATAATCCAATAGTTGCAGAAAATCAAATTTCATTGGTAATCCAATTAATGCGTTTACATGCACTTGAGTAATCAGATAACGGAAAAGCTCTGGGTTTACATGAGTCAGACAGTAATCAGAGTTCTGCTTTGCAATCGGCCAATGATAATATAAATAATATACACCGATCAGGCATAACTAATATATAAATAATATACACCGATCAGGCATAACTAATATATAAATAATATACACCGATCAGGCATAACATTATGACCACCTCCTTGTTTCTACACCTCAGTGTCACTGCTGGACTGAGAATAGTCCATTAACCAAAAATATCCAGCCAACAGCGTCCTGTGGGCAGCGTCCTGTGACCACTGATGAAGGTCTAGAGGATGACCAACACAAACTGTGCAGCAGCAGATGAGCTATCGTCTCTGACTTTACATCTACAAGGTGGACTGACAAGGTAGGAGTGTCTAATAGAGTGGACAGTGAGTGGACACAGTGTTAAAACTCCAGCAGCACTGCTGTATCTGATCCACTCGTACCAGCACAACACACAGTAACACACCACCACCACGTCAGTGTTACTGCAGTGCTGAGAATGATCCACCACCCAAATAGTACCTGCTCTGTGACGGTCCATGGGGGTCCTGACCACTGAAGAACAGGGTAAAAGGGGGCTAACAAAGAATGCAGAGAAACAGATGGACTACAGTCTGTAACTGTAGAACTACAAAGTGCACCTATATAGTAAGTGGAGCTGATAAAATGGGCAATGAGCATAGAAAACAAGGAGGTGGTCATAATGTTATACCTGATCGGTGTATGTATATATATATATATATATATATATATATATTATATATAGTATATATATATATATGAATGTATATGAATGTTCTCTGTACACACATCTGATATTTAAATTAATAGTTTTTATTATTTAAAGCTACAAATATGTGATGAGAGTGATTTTTATATCCTGCTACCTATATAACTGCATACGTTTTCAAGGCTTCAGGCAGTGCACTAACGCGCTGACCGCTCTTACCTGTGCGGTAGGTGAAGTTGGCCTCAGTCTCTGAGGACGATGGAGACAGGAGCTCATCGTCGTACTCGTTGGAGCTAAAGGATCCCGAGTGGTGCCTCTTACGGGAGTCGAGGCCTTTGTTGGCGGCCATGACGTGCCGCAGGGAGTCATTGAGATAGCGGTTCAGCAAGCTGCTCTTGTACTTTGGCGGTGAAACGTAATCACCACAGAGCGATGTGTCTGTCCTCAGGCCTGCCCCTAAGCCTTGGCTGTCCTGGATCACACTTTTGGGTCTGCTGGATTCACCCGCTTGCATTTGTAGAGCGTTCTCACCGTCTGTGGTGAAGAAAGATGTGGAACAGGAAAATGTGTTATACACAGTACAATACTGCAAAAGTCTAAGACCAGTCAGGAAAATTGTTTAAAGGAACAAAAATCTAATTTACACAATTTTCCACTTTCTCCCGACGTAGCTGATCAGCCAAGACATGTTTGGTGTCCAAAGTTTTCTTTAGTTTAGTGCTGGAGTCGAGACTAATGCTGCTAACATTACATTGGAAGTCAATAGTCACCCAAATCCTTTCTGTAAATACCTGCTGTAAACACATAAATGTTCAGCTAAAGGATGAAGTTTTGTTTGTTTTTATAGTTCACAGTAAGTCATACTGTGTCCTAAACCATATTGATAAGTCTGCACGACCTTAATAAACACCTGGATGTGGTTTGAACAGGTTGGTTTTGGGAAGTATTCACAGAAAAAATTTGGGTGACTATTGACTTCTAGTGTTTGTTAGCAATGTTAGTTTCTTAGCTCCAGTGCTAAACTAAAGAAGCAAAATTTGGATACCAAACATGTCCTGGCTGAGCGACTACATCTGGAGTAAGTGGAACATTGTGTAAATGTAATTTTACACCGAACCACTCTTTTACGGCAAATTAACCATCAATACAATCAAATATAACATGAATTAATTGCTATGTTGTTAGCTGGTGAGGAGAACAGGGGTTTAGTTCTTGAATTCTTGGTAAACTCCAGCCATTGCATGAACTTTTATATTCCATCAGCAGCACCTCTTGATTTAATTTAAAGAAGAACTGACGTTTGCACAGTACTGTATATCAGGGTTTGGCATGTATCGGACGCTAACTGTAAATACTGGACTTCCTCAAGGAGAAATGGCTAATCTAATACACTCATCAATCACAATGGACTATATTCATTTTTATTTGTGTTACTGTAATGTTAGTGCTTTTCCGAGCAAATGAAGGCCTCCTGCCCATATAAATAGCTTTAAATATAATTTTCACAGTGCTGTATATCAGGTTTAGGCATCTCAGTACAGTTTAGTGCTGTCGTTTCACAGTGAATAAGATATGCACAATTCCCACAATTCCCCCCCTTACTCCAAAAGTAGTTGATCAGCCAAGACACGTTTAGTGTCTGAAGTTAGCTTCTTTAGTTTTCCACTGGGACTGTGAGGCTCATGTTAGCTAACAAGTAATGGAAACTCATACTATACCAATTAGCACTGTGCTAACTGCATGCTCAAAATTGCCTCAAACCAGGTTCAGTAGTTAAGTACTCTCCAATAGACTCGCTTTTGTGGTTTCTGACAATGTGTGATACACTCTTACATATGAAAATGGACAAAATTCATACTGCATACAGCGTCAGAAACCACATACGCAAGTCTATTAGCACTTTAGCAACTCAAGCAGAGATGTTACAAAGACACTGGATGGAATATGAACAGAGAACTGGTAGAGAGGAGAATTACCACTCTGTAATGTCTTCCGGGTTTCTCAGACGCTAGAGGGCGCTCCCGAGTGAGTCCAAAATGAATGGGTTAAGATGTAGCATTTGAACAAAATCATAGTTTATAAATGCTTAAACATTTTTAATGTAAAAGAATATAGTTATTTCCTGAACAAAGAGCAGCATGAAACATTTTTTTTTGTGAGCGCAAACAGCCAACGAGCTGCTCTGCTCACCAACCAATCAGCACTCAGTAGCAGTAACGCTAGCGTCCTGCTAGCCAAAACATTTATTGTAGTTTCCGAGATGGCCGATTAGTGGACAAACTTTCCTATAAAGACTTTGACATGACATTGTTTGAGGCAAGTGTGTACTGATTTTAGCATTTAGTTAGCACAGCGCTAACTGGTGTAGTATTAGCATCCGTGACTTGTTAGTGACATTAGCCTCATAGCTCCAGTGCAAAACTAAAGAAGTAAACTTCGGACACCAAACACGCTTTGCTGACCGACTACATTTAAAGTCAGTTTGATATTGTGTACATTGTTACGGAAGTCCGGAGAGGCCAGGAGGTTGCCATAATTTTCTGGATCGTTATCTTGAGATCACAAGATATCTCAAGATAACAACTTGTGTCATCTCGAGATCACAGGATAATTAAATAGTGATCAAGTTATCTCAAGACAACAACTTTGTTATCTTGAGATCACAAAACAGTTAAGTTGCATTCTTGAGATCACAAGATAATTAAGTCATGATCTCAGGATAACAACTTTTGTTATCTCGAGATCACAAGATAATTAAGTTGTGATCTCAAGATGACAATCCAGAGAATTATAACGGCCTCATGGCCTCTCTGGACTTTCCTAAAGTAACTGACACCTGCCGTCTCTCTCGCTCTCTCCTCCCCTCTTACCCTCTGAGGCCGAGTCGTCACTGCTGATGCTCAGCCTCTCTGCGTTGCCCTGGACGTACTTGTTGTAGAGTTTGATGCGTAGAGCCCAGCTCAGGTCAGGCTGCCGTACTGTGTTCTTCAGCCTGCGCCGAGCGTTAGCAAACCAGTTTGATACCTGCAGAAACCACAACATGACATTATAGATAGGCATACAGCATAACTGGCTTTCCAACCAGGGGTGGGCAATATGACAATATTTTATCATTATCGTGATAAATTATCTGACGATATGCTCTTCTGAGCATGTCATGGCTATCATCAGTACTTAAACAGCAATACCTGGCTGCAAGTGTCATTATAGAGTAAGCATTGAATGAAAAATCATTTTAGTTGTAGGTTTATTATTCTTCTTATTATTAGTATTAGTATTTTTTATATGTGGCGCTACAAGTTCTACTTTGTCTGTTCCAACTATTAAGTCTCAGAAAAACTAAATTTTATGATGCATATTGTGAATCATTAAAATGTCTTGAAGTATCATGATATAATTTTTTTATTAATATTTATAACATATTTTTATTAATATTTATATAATATTTACTGCCCTGAGATGGACTGGCGACCTGTCCAGGGTGTATCCTGCCTTCCGCCCAATGACAGCTGGGATAGGCTCCAGCACCCCACCGCGACCCAGAAGGATAAGCGGTTTAGATGATGTATGTATGTATGTATATAATATTTATATAATATTATATAATTGTACTTCATTACTATACTTTACTATACTAAGCATTAATTGGAAGATCTGTACTTTGTTTATGCATTCTTGAGACTGAATACTTGTACTTTTACTCAGTTACCTTTCCAAGAGCAAAAAAAAACATACTTTTTACTCCTTACATTTTCATTTAGACATTCAAAGTACTTGTTTCAGATCTCAAAATCTGAAAGACCAGAAGATTTTTTTTTTTCTTCTTCTTGCCAATCCCACACAATTTGCAATGCGTCAGTTATGGGAAGTTATGTGAAGTTTATCCTGGTGTTTACACATACTGGACTTTTACAAACATTTAACAGTTTGTTGAGAAATTTTAAGATGATGCAGACTCACTAGTCATCAGCACATGCCCAGTATAAAAGCTGCTTTAAAGCTGAAAAACGATACAGTGACCCCATAAACATTTGACTTTTTACTGTGAGATGCTTGAGTTATATTTAAATGTAGTTTTTTTTTACTACAGTTTAATCTGCTCCTCTCTTTTGATCACATGATTTCTCAGTGCTGTTGTTGCATTTATTTTGATATGTATTGAATGTGATCTAACAAAGCTGCAAATTATAGTTCCCCCCCATTTCCAAAAAAGTTGGGACGCTGTGCAGAATGTAAATAAAAATAGAATGCAATGATGTGCAAATCAAGTAAAGCATATTTTCAAAGGAAAATACTACAAAGACAACATACCAAATGTTGAAACTGAGAAATTTTATTGTTTTTTGAAAAATATATGCCCATTTTGAATTTGATGCCAACAACACGTTCCAAAAAGGTTGGGACAGGGGCCTGTTTACCACTGTGCTTCATCACCTCTTCTTTTAACAACTCTCTGTAAGCGTTTGGGAACTGAGGAGACGCTGCTGTAGTTTAGAAAGTGAAATGTTTTCCTGTTCTTGTTTGATATAGGATTTCAGCTGCTCAACAGTTCAGGGTCTCATCTGGATACCATCATGAATACTGGCTTTTGAACTGTGCACTGATAACAAGCTGAGTGGTCTTTAGCCCGGAGGACACAGTGTCCATGATTTCCAAAAAGAATTTCAAATGTTGATTTGTTGGACCACAGGACACTTTTCCACTTCACTTTAGACCATTTTAAATGAGCTCAGGCCCAGAGAAGGTGGCAGCATTCCTGGATCCTGTTTATATCTGGTTTCTTATTTGTTTTCACAGACAGTGATTTTCAGAAGTGTTTCTGAGCTCATGCAGTGATTTCCACAACAGAATCATATCAGTGCTGCCTGAGGGCCCAAAGATCACAGCCCCCACCCCAACATTTTTGGAACGTGTTGTTGGCATCAAATTTTAAAATGGGCATATATTTATCAAAAATACAATAAAATTTCTCAGTTTCAACATCTGATCTGTTGACTTTGTACTATTTACAATTAAATATGGGGTTTAAATGATTTGTCAATCATTGCATTTTGTTTTTTTTTACATTTTGCACAGCGTCCCAACTTTTTTGGAAATGGGGTTGTAATTTGTACATAATCAGAAAATCTAACTGTTATGTAACAGATTATGATAAATATCATTATATTGTCCACCCCTATTTTGTACTCATTAGCCTATTTTTTATTTTTATTTTTTTTTAAAAGGCCACTCATGTTTTTGACAGTTTCATCAATAAACACTAAAAACTAGAAACACTGGGACATCATGCAGATGGACACTGTAAAAACATTATTCATATTTAAAAAAGTTAGTAGCCTTGTTGCCTTAAAAGTCATTGCATTTAAAAAAATAACAGCTTAGAAGGTCAATGAACTTAAGATTTTAAAGCAACTTTACCACTTTAAAACATAAAATCATTTTTTACAGTGTGGAGTCTCTTTTGAGTGTATGGATGGACGGCTGCTGCCTCTGACCTCACCTGAACCAGGGTCATGTGGGAGCCGAGGGCCAGTAGGATCTTCTCGGTTTTGGTGGGGTAGGGGTTGTCCCTGTGTTTATAAAGCCACTGCTTCAGCGGCCTGGCCATATCCTGCAGGGCCTGACGCTTGTGCCGGACCTTCCCTCCACTGACCACAGAGAGAGAACAACAGGCTGAGTCATACAGGACAGACATCTGGGTCTGTTAGCTTTGCATTCAGTTCTGTTTTAGTGTTATGGCTGCTATTAGAAGTTGGGAAGCTCTGGTTGTTTTTAAAAAATGGTCACAGTTTTTGGGGCAACAGTTTAAACACAAGCTGAATCACTCCAAGGCCTCAGAAATGCCGACAGACAGCAGGGTCCAAACCAAATAGTGAGAATGCTTCTGTTTTTGCATTCTTTTCTAATTTAATACAACATTCATTACATTACAAACAATATTATCAGCATAACAATGTAGGTGAAAAGTAAAATTTTAACATGAATTACAGAATTTCTCAGTTTTCAGTTAAATGTGTCCTCCTTTTGCTTTAATGACAGCGTGTGCTCATGCTGGCATGAACGCTGCGAGTTTGGCTAAAAAACCTCTGATGAGTAGATCAAATCCATCTGAGAGTCTTCTGTTTCAATGGAAGAAATAAGACTAAACAACAATCAGACTTGTTGCACAAAGGCCTTAACGTGGTCAGTGTCACAAATTTGCTTGAATTTGAATAGCGACCCAGAAATAGTGCAGAATCTTCAATACTTCTTCTTCGTTTTACTTGTCATAACCTTTTTTTCCTGATTCTAAAATTAGAATTAGGAATTTTTTTTTTCCAGGTTTAAAAGAAAAAAATCCCAGATTTTCACTGAGGTCTTGGACTTTTGGACCCTTCTGACCATCTCCTGTACCCACAACGTAGCTAACGGCCTTTCCAGATAGGTCTACAAGCTAGAGGCCCGTGTCTGAAGAACAACTCTGAAGCAACACTAAAGCCTCAATAGCACAACAGCGTTGGCCTGAATCAATCACATCCCACTCCACTCCAGTCCAGCTGTTCTACCTTCACAGGACTGTCCAGAACATTCTTCAGAACCTTGTGTAACTGCAGAAAAATTGCAATTATGTAACTTAATAAGAGACAAAGTGCTGGCTTACACAAATGCGTCAAAAAGTAGTAACAGTTGTATGCAAAATTTGAACACCCCGGTCAAATGACACGTGTTTCTGATTTTCTAAGTGAAAATAAGTGAACACATCCTCATCCATCCAAGTTAACACATCCATGCTGGAAAACAAAAACAAAGTACAAAGTGTGCCATAATTTTTGTACATTTTCTGCCCCCCCCCCATCCCCCCCAAAAGAAATGTTAAATCCAGCAAATAAGCAGTAATTGTGCATTAAAGTGTGCAGAAGTGTGTCTCTGTAGAGGATGTGTAACTTATTTACACTTAGAAAATCAACTCAACATGTCATTTGGCCAGGGGTATTTAAACTTTTGCATACGACTGTATCTGTGGTGCCTCAACTTCATATAAACATTCCCAAAAGGGAAAAAAAGCAGAAGAAGAAGAAGAAATTCACCCTGATGGGCTGCAATCTTTAAGATTTGCACTACTGTTCAAACATTTGGAATCACTAGTGTGAGTGTGATTTTATATACAGTAATAACTTTTAGCATGTAGATTTAAACACTATAAAATAGTTTTATACATTGTTTATTCAATATTTCACTTATTTTGGGAACCCCAGCAAGTTATTTAGTGCTAAATGGTACACTGTATTTATCTATTTACTATATTACTGACCAGGATATCTCAAGATTTGATCACCACTTTTGAAATATGAGGCATTCTGATATTAATTACTATTCATTATAACTTCTTTCTCGATGTTCTTCAGCTTTCTCGGTCGTTATAGAACCGTGTACAGCTCTTCCATCATTCTAAACAGCTTTCTACTAATTAGTTGAAATCTGTGAATTTGTATATATATCATAATAGAGTATCAGAGCCATTTCATATATATCGCTGCTGTTGGAATGAAACCTCGCATTTCTATTTTTGTTATTTTCCTGTTTTTGACATAATTTGAAAAATACCTGTTGCCCGTCACATTGTGTGTAAATTTCATGATGAATGGACCAAAAGAAACAGCCCAAAATTACTTGTTAAAAAAGTCTGGTTCCATTAACTTACATTAAAAGTAAAGTAGGTTTTTTCTTTCTCCTGTAAAGTTACCATTTTGGAGATATGAGGTTTTGTTCCGACGACAGTGATATATTCATCTTAAGTCCACACCATTCAGCTTTGAAGATATTGACCCATGAGTGATTTTTACATATTTGTAGTGCAAGAATAAAAGCATCATAAAGCAACAAAAGCACGAAAGTAAGCGAGACACCAGAGGAGCAGTGAGTAATAGCAAAAAAAAGGTATCACAGTACTTGAAGACATTGCATGATGCATGATATCACAATATATTGTTATAAATATCCCAGTATTTTGTTTTAAGAGGTTTGATTAGAACAGACAAAATTAATCAGTCGTGCCACATTTACAAAATACTAACACAAACTATGAACTGCATTCGGCGGTTCACATACTGCACCGCCTAAATCCAGTAAAACAGGAGTAATGATGCCCTCTTTGTTACGAAACATTGTCAGTGTTAAGCACTGGCGATGTCCACAATGTCCACGATGTCCACAGAACAAAAGTAAACCTCACTGGACTCAACATTCTGCTCATAGAGATGTGAAAACCAGGAGATGCTTCAACATCTTAGACCACAAGAGCCACAAGAGCCCAGCCACACTTCAGTTCCTCACTCTCGGAACTACAGAACTGATTAAAACCTACAGAGAAAATGGGCCTCCTAACAACCACCTGCAAGACTGGTAGACACCAAAACTGACCCCATCAGATAAACAGCACTTAAAGCTTTTATCTTTGAGAGAGAGGAGAAAATCAAGTGAAAGGATGTGTAGCTGTTCAAGAAGCCCTCGCTGAGAAAAGGAGACGGACACATCAAACAAAGAAGCTGAACAATGGACTGACCACCCCAGAGTCCAGACGTCAACATCACTGAATGTGTTTGATTACTTGGATCGACTGAACTTTGGAGGTGCGGAAAAATATGCAGATTTCTTTGAAGAACTGAAAGAGAGTCTCCTGAAAAGAATGGAAGCTGTAATAAAGGGAAAGAGTGACACACTAAATACTGAAATGTTCTGTTAAACATGTTTTCAGCTTTTTTCCTGACACTGAAAAATGAATAACTTGTACTCAATGACCATTCTGAATGGTAATGTAATAAATGAAGGGTGGTCTCTGACTTTTGCACAGTGCTGTACACATTAGTTTCATAGCAGTTACTGAACAATCATCACAGTTAACATAAAGTTAGATAAGGTCTTAACATTATTAACATTAATAACATCAATCACAGCCCATGGCTCAAGACGTTAACCCCTTAAAACCCCATCCTGGGGCGTATTATTCAGTAACTACACGCACTACTGTGAGTTATTCTTAAGTTACACAAGTTTACAATAAAAGTTCGGACCTGCCTTTGGCCACTGAAGCAGTTCAGTGTATCTGACTCATTAGGATAAAGTAGACAAGGCTCTAATCTTGTAAGCTGAAGTTTCCTTAATCAGCAGATGTCACTGTGGAGCACAAGCTGCTACTGCTGAGTGCTACTGCAGCAGGTTTTGGCACGCAGCTCTGACTGTGTTCATCTTTCTTCCAAACACAGTGGGCAGTCAGAAGGGTGGGCTAAGTCACCCTCACTGTGAAGCACATTCACAAACCCTGAATGGGTTATGAAGGAGCTCTGCGCTCAGAAGCAAAGGAAGGGGAGCTAATAATATCGATAATTAGTTAATTATGCACCATTACACTCCTTATCATCATCATCACCACCACTGGCAGTCAATCTATATCCATCATTTATACCGCATGTACACTGGAGGCACCTACTGTCGTGTGCGAAAGTTTTGGCACCCCCGGTGAAAAGGATTTTCTCAGAGAAAATGAGGCGACACATCCTGTACCGAATATGACACATATGTTATATTAAATATGACATTTTTCTGCCAATGTCAGTGCATAATATGACTTTCTTTGCTGAGTTTAACATATTGGGGGCCATAACTTTTCCACAGGCCAAGTTTTATGTTTTATTTTCTCCCTCATTGTTTTTTAAAACAGCAAATAGAAAGTAACTGTGCATTAAAGTGCGCATAAAAGTGTGCTCCCTGTGGGGAATATTTTCCCTTAGAAAATAAACAAAATGCCATTTGATCAGGGGTGCCCAGACTTTTGCACACGCATGCATAAAGTAAAACACGTTAAATCTGTAGCTCTAATCGAGCTCTGTTAGTATCAAACCATATGAAGCCTCAGTAAAATAGTGCATCGAATTCACTTATTTCTAACACACGAGAATAAACGATGTGACATCAGCACAGTTTTGTCTTTCGGATGACTTTCTTTTGGCGCCAGCCGTGTTGATGTAATACGCTTTATTCATGTGGAAGTGATGCACGTTGGAAAACACCATTTTTCCAGTGAACTGGTCACGCAGGTTCCATCCAAACAAAAAATAGTATCAACTTGATAGAGGTCCCTGCAATCATTTGATCAGAGATCAAACAAAGTATCCAGTAAAAACACACAGTACGTACCCATTCCTCCTGTGCTTGAGAGCCCCTTCGCTGTCCACCCCCTTGTGCCTGGACAGTAGTTCTGGATGTTGTCCATCTATCACTTCTAAATAGTTCAGGCTGTTCCTCTCTACATCTTTTCCACTCTCCTCAAAGCGCAGGTGCTCCTCCAGTTTGTTGAAGACAATGGCACTCATCTTTGTCCAGTTCTATCGTGTCCAAGAATGAATCTGGGGGTCCACAAACTGTCCACACTTCTTCTCTAATGATGACCCTGTGAGGAGATGACAAGATGAGGTTAGAGTACATTTAAAACAGACAGACATATAAACATATAATAACAGCGAGCAGGTGAAGTGTTTTCTCACTGTAATCCAGTGTATCTATATTTAGAAACTATATACAAGTGAAGGATTTAGCAGCACTGGCTGCTTCAGCGCAAAGAAAACAGCAAAAAACAAGCCCACCAGTCTAGGATGAGGGTCTTCATGCAGGTGAGAAAGGGTTAATGCAGTGAAATGAACTCAGACAGAGCTGGACATGTTGCGCGTGCCTCACCTCCCCTCCGCTTCCATCTATGAGCTGCTGCTCGCGGTGCAAGACAGGCGCGCGCTGCTGCTGCATGTAGAGCTCCGCGTGTCCCAGTGGGCGGCGCTCCGGGGACATTTATTTATTCACCCACCCACATTCACACAGGCCACGCCCCCTGCGGTGGGATTGGCTGGACTGCATGTTAAAAGCAAACACTGAAACAAATAACAGTCTGCATGCATATATATATATATATATATATATACATATTAATATATATATATATATATATATATATATACATATACATATTAATTACAGACTGTAGTCTATCTTTTTCTGTGCATACATACTGTGTGGATCAGACACAGCAGTGCTGCTGGAGTTTTTAAACACTGTGTCCACTCACTGTCCACTCTGTTAGACCTTGTAGATGTAAAGTCAGAGACGATAGCTCATCTGCTGCTGCACAGTTTGTGTTGGTCATCCTTTAGTCCCCATCAGTGGTCACAGGATGCTGCCCACAGGACGCTGGTGACCGGATATTTTTGGTTAATGGACTATTCTCAGTCCAGCAGTGACACTGAGGTGTTTAAAACTCCACCAGCCCTGCTGTGTCTGATCCACTCAGACCAGCGCAACACACACTAGCACACCACCACCACATCAGTGTTATGGCAGTGCTGAGAATGATCCACCACCCAAATAATACCTGCTCTGTGAGGGTCCATGGGGGTCCTGACCACTGAAGAACAAGGTAAAAGGGGGCTAACAAAGTATCAGAGAAACAGATGGACTACAGTCTGTAACTGTAGAACTACAAAGTGCACCTATATAGTAAGTAGAGCTGATAAAATGGACAATGAGCATAGAAACAAGGAGGTGGTCATAATGTTATGCCTGATCAGTGTATATATATATATATATATATATATATATATATATATATATATATATACATATATGCTAAATCATCCCTTGCCACTTCATGTGTTGATTTTCTAAGTGTAAATAAGTTACACATCCTCTACAGAGAAAACACTTCTCCACACTTTAATACACAGTTACTATTTATTTGCAAAATTTTACATATTGGGGAAAAAGTACAACATAAAATGTGGATGGTCCAAAAGTTATGGCACATTTCATACTGTATGTTTTTTTTCCCCCCAATATATTAATCTTAGTAAACAAATAAAAAAGGCACCCTAAAATTGGCTGGAAAATATCATATTTAAGTGCATTGTCTGTAGAGGATGTGCACGCTTATTGTCCTTTAGAAAACCAACAAAACACGAACCCTGAGCAGGGGGCGCCAAAACTTGTGCATATAGTACTGTGCAAAAGTCTTAGACGCCTAAGCAAACAGTCAGCCTGTTTAAAACCATTTATCTGGGTGGTACGTGTATTTTTGCCTGCAAAAACATGATATAACATTAAAATAAATACAAAAATTAACATTAGTTTCTTGTCTTCAAAAAAGTAGTGGGTGTATTAGGAGCTGGTTAGAAGAACAGGTTTGGTTCTTGAGGCCTCCAGCCATCGCATGGATCTGCCAAACCAGGTGTTAGATAATAACTACAAATAATGCTGGGCCTCCTTAAGGAGAGGTTTAGAAATGGTTAAGCGAACATATCAACCGGCTTCAAAACACTACTTATGGTACTATATGGTATTATTTGTATTCATTCTAATGTTCAAATTAATAATTTTTTTTCTAAACAAATGAACTGATACATTATTGTTGCTTTTTAATATACTTGTCCTGCATATATGACAGTATTCTCACATCTCATATATTACACTCTTACAAAAGATGGTTCTTTAAGGGTTCTTTAGCAAAGAAATGGTTCCAAGAACCATAAACATTCACAGATCCCTTTGCTTGATAAAAAGTATTCTTTGCATTGTAAAAGGTTCTTTAGACAGAAAGAGAATGTGCTGCAGATGCTTCTATATAGAACCTTTTTGAAAAGGAAAGAGATATCTGACCGAGTGGAGGCTAACATAACTGATGGACACATGCGCTATCCAGCTGTAATATAATAGTTGTGATGTTAGTTAGGTAACAGTTATCTCTGGTGAAGCAGGCTACATATCCATACTTCTCCCCTCAGTTATGAAAAAGGGCAGTTCAGATTAAGTGGCTGCAGCACAACCCACAATGCAGAATAATGTTCTGCACGTTTTGTGCAGTTACATATTTTCACCAGAGAGGTCGCCAATTCCCCAAATTCGCCAAACTTACAAAGTGCAGCTTTAAATGCTGTTTGGTTTGCTGCTTCTGTTTCTCCACAATAAACTTGCGTTTTTTCTCGACTGCTAAAACACATCTAATGAAACTGGGATCATCTTAATCATTCTCACTTTCTCAGCAAAGCAGGAGTGTCCTTTTACAAGTGTTTTCACACGTTCTCTTTGCTTTTACAAATTTGTTACATACTTTTGAAAGGAGTTAACACAGATCTCACAGAAAAGCATAACTGGATAACAGTGTAAAAAAGGAAAACATGCTGTGCTCATGTTATGCTTATCTACCTTCAGCACCCATGTGAACTATACGGTGCACTTTTGCTAACTCAGCAACCAGTTGTCATCAGCTGTTGACCGTAAGCATGAAGTAGACTAACAGAGCTTGATTAGAGCTCTGGATTTAATGTCTTTTACTTTACGCATACGTGTGCAAAAGTTTGGGCACCCCGATCAAACGACATTATGTTTATTTTCCAAGGGAAATATTCCCCACAGGGAGCACACTTTTTGCACACTTTAATGCAAAGTTGATTAAAAGTATTTACTAAGTATTTATATATGAGGAATAATTAAGGAAAGACAAAACTGATTTACACAGTGACACACTCGATTATAGCAGTTGTGAATCATTCAAACAATGGATTCTACCAGAGATGTAAAAAAAAAAAAAGATTTCACTCGAGATATTTGGAAACAATAGTTTCTATTTTTGCTTTTTCCATTCTGACTGAAAAATGAGTGGAAAGCAACGGACAACTGACAAAACCTCCCTTGCTCTACGCCACTCATGCCATTGTTTCAAGAGTATGGAAAAAGGAAAGAAAAAGATAAAAAATTAAGTTACAATCGTTTGTTTTTGGATGTTTTAGATGAAGGCTTTATTTTGTTTGGTTAGAGAGGTACATATTGGGGAGTGTATTGCTGTGAAATGTATCAGTAAAAACTACCCAGGAGAACAGAACAGACTCCAGTCTGTGATATTCTTACACTCTGGTACATTCTTGAACTAATAACGTATCATCAGACAGCACAGCGCAGACATACAGCACTAATGAAGGCTGAACAGCTTCCAAATCAAGCTGTATTCTGTGTTTTGTGGTGGTTTTGGGAGTGATTGAATACATTTAATCACCTGACTGTGAAGTTTGCCTTTGTAGTGTGTGTTTAGTGTTTTGTGCAGATGTTTTGAGGATGTGGCTTCTGAAAGGACAAAAAACAAACAAACAAACAAACACAACAGAGTATGCCATGTCCACATGTGTCACAATCCAGGAAAAAAAACAGGCATCCACAAACGTCAGGAAACACAGATGGCCACCCAGAGTGGTCCAGCTTCAGCTTTTCTAATCACAGCGAGTCCCGTACAACACCCTAAACCCAGACAGCACATTCCACACCAGCAGCGCAGCAGCGCAGGCACATTACACACTGCACAGGTCATAAAGTCGTCTCCCTCAGAGATAGCCTCGCCTCAGCATGGGCTGACATTACCTACAAGAAAACATGGAAAAACAAGAGACACGGTCAGACTGAGCTCTTCACAACAGTTAAACAACAAACGACAAAAATACTTTCCACATTAAAGACACAGGTCAGTTCCCAAAGAGAGGAGAGAGAGAGAGAGGGAGAAAAACATGCAGAGAGAGAGAGAAAGAGAGAGAGACATAGAGAGATTGTGGGAGAAAAACATGCAGAAAGAGAGAGAGAGAGAGAGAGAGAGAGAGAGAGAGAGAGAGAGAGAGAGGGAGAACAGAAAGACAGGAAGATAACAAGAAAGGAGGGAAAGCATGAGAATGAGAAGGGGAAAGAGAAGAAGAAGGGAGGAGAGGCAGAGAGACGGAGAGGAGAGAGAGAGAGAAAGAGAGAGATGTTGTTTCTGTGATGCCACAGAAAACCAGAAAACCCACGTTTGGTTCCCTAGAGAACTATATTTGAACCTAAGTTCTTTGAAGTTTAAAAAACGTTCTTTCCTCTCGCTCTACTCATTAACGAAAACAGTTACTCAGACAATCCGCTGACTGTAGGGATGTTATAGTACAACATACTGAACTGGATTACAGTGTGTTATATTATATTGTGTTGTACTGCTGTGTTGTCAGAGCTAGTTAAGGGGAGCTTGGCCACTTCCTGTTTCTCTCTTTATACCAGACACATGCCTGTAAAACTGGAGCGTGTGCTCAGTGAAAGGGAGAGAACAGAGCTAAAGAGCCAAAATCAAAAAAGCTGAACTTGTTTCTAATCATTTGTTTCGGATTATCCTTTACTTTTGGAAAGTAGAAGGAAGTATTCGTTAAAAAACCAAAGAAAACTGGTATCTCATGCCTTGGCCAGAAGGACGCTAGCATTACTGCTACTGAGTGCTGATTGGTTGGCATTACTGCTGCTGAGTGCTGATTAGTTGGCATTACTGCTACTGAGTGCTGATTGGTTGGCATTACTGCTACTGAGTGCTGATTGATTGGCATTACTGCTACTGTGCACTGATTGGTTGACATTACTGCTACTGAGTGCTGATGGGTTGGCATTACTGCTACTGAGTGCTGATTGGTTGACATTACTGATACTTGATACCAATTGGTTGGCATTACTGCTACTTGGTGCTGATTGGTTGACATTACTGCTACTGAGTGCTGATTGGTTGGCATTACTGCTACTGTGCACTAGTGCATACTGCGATGCTGATTGGTTGGCATTACTGCTACTGTGCACTGATTGGTTGACATTACTGCTACTGTGCACTGATTGGTTGACATTACTGCTACTGAATGCTGATGGGTTGGCATTACTGCTAC